GAAAGGAATATCACTCTCAGAGCAGTCAAAAATTATTTGGAAAAGTCATTCTTGTGATATGCCCCCCTTATGAAAATCAATTGATTTGCAGCCAGTTGCCAGCTCAAATAGTCAGCAAGCTTCCTTGTAGAGTTGTGCCCGTTTGATCCCTACTGTTGTCAGTGTAACAGCTGAATTTGAGATTAGGGTGAACCTGAGCGCCGTTTCCATCTGTGCTTCCCCAGGGAGATTGCGCCGAGCGGCTTGAAAGTAACTGTGACAACGGCTCAGTTGACGGCTCTGGGAGTCAACGTGAGCGTTAAATAACAGTCTCTTGCCTTTTGTCAGCAATAGGGGAAACCTGAGTGGGATGCGCAACAGGTGCGACATAGAAAAGTGTCCCCTTACACTCCGCACACCTCAGGACACGCCCATACTCCCACAATACATTCCCGCTGGAAGACTGCTGCCAGCCGCTTGCATACAGGCCTTTGTGTGCATTAAATGTGTGTTGATGAACTTGTGAGAGGACGTACAGAGAAATACTGAGGATGGCCATGTAATGTATTAGCAAATGAGATTAAGAGATGATAAGACGCAAAAACACAGCTGTTGAGGTGTTCTGCAACCTACAGCTGGAAGTCTAATGATTACAGCTGTCGGCCACTCATTCTCTTAGCCCTCACTTCCTGTTCGGAATGTCCAAAATTGACTGACAAAGTCCTACAGGTGTCCTGTTCTGAAATCCATATCTACTCCATCGTCCTTTCCTGCCCTAGGCTCTCTTATCACACAAACAGCAGCAGGTGTGACTGCTCGGTGTGTTTTCTGATGCCCATGTCTTCGGAGATTCTAGAGGATCTGCCAGTTGGTGAGCGAGGGGTCTTTTCACATTTTACAAGACGGCAGCCATGCGGCTATCTGCCGTGGGTGCGCTGGAGAGGCGGTGCCTCATTGAGGCAGATATTTGAGATCTCTGTGGTTAGAGACCCTTGTTCTCTCGTTTTTTTCCACCATTCAGGTCCGGCAATATTACTTGAATTAGATTTCACTGAGATTTTAATTTTGGGCGGGATGGAGAGACCTCAGTTCAGCATCTGTTTACTCCCAGATGGCCATCTTTGCCCTGTTCCCTCTCATTTCTATACCCCTGAGAGAGAGGTTTAAAGAGGTACATAAATGTGCAAAAAAAGAAAGTCCTCCACTCCCCACATGGCTCAGGTAGGCCAGGTGTCTCTGTGCAGGCCCACCTGCTGCCGCTCTTTTCTGACAAGCACAATAGCAGACATAAAGACTGCAGAACTTTCTTTGATTAGAAGCGACTGCAAGCAAGAGGCAACAAGGTTTAGTTTGGGCTAAAGAGATGCTTTACGTCAGCTAAGTGGGATGCTGGCTGGCTTGTGTAAAGGAACACCTGTGTGTTTGATGCTAATGCAAAACATGTACAGGCAAATTTAGTCCTATAAAGCAGTTTGTATCTCATTTGGAGCATGAAACATCTTTATTATAATCCATACTTTCAGTTTTTTAGCTGGGAGAAAGTAATGGATTTTATATTTGGATTTTTCAAAATTAATATTTAGTGGGTTTAAGCCACTATGCCTATTTAATAGTGCAGTTTTTCAAAAATACAAAAATTGATACAGCAGGTGTTTGAGGTATATTTAAATCATCATTTTAATGCATTTCATGATATGTTATGCCCACATTTTATTATTTGGTTGTCATTCAGGTTTATAATTCTCTATTCTAATTATTTTATTGGGTCTTGTTTAATATTATGGATGCTGTTTTTGTTGTGTTTCAGGATTATGTAAGACTTATTGGTGTCATCTGGGTCTGCTCTAGTTGTAAACAAACAGGGTGATGAGGAAGTAAACTGCATTTGGAGTCAGTCCAGTGGTTGGCTGAGGCTCAAATTAGAAACTGTTGGTTCCTTTTTGCCAGACGTTGAGGAACTGTTTGACAAAGAATTTGATTTTCTGTGATAAGCTTTTAAACTACGGTTACAAACGATCTTCAGCATTTGTGTACTTTGCCTTTTATGCTAATTTTCATGCAAGCTTTTGCATAGTAATTATTTAACTAAGAGCCTTCTTGCATTTTTAAGAAGCGTTTAAGCATGTTTCTCTTTGTAACAGTGCTGGACTTGTGCAACATTCACCTCAGGCAAACAGGTGTGAAGGCTGGATGATATTATCAGCAGTATATTTAATTGGTGGCTAATTGGTTACTTCAGTCATTGTTCTTTGAGCTGAACTCCTTGTAAGTTCTTAAGAGGGTTTCAACAGCAAAAATTATAGTACAGGTACAGTTGTAACTGTACAGCAGTTTTGTAAAAACTGGGCTTAGTGTTACTTTGCTGACTTTGTGTCCCCAGTAGTTTGTCCAAATGCATTCTGCACGTTGTAAGAGGTCAGGTTTCTTCCTTATATATACACCTAGTGTGTATATATATAATATAATATAATATAATATGAGGCAGTGTGTCTACCCGTCACTGTCTTCTTGGATGCAAACACTCCATTTTTATAGCACCATTGTGCAATTCAGTAATAAAAATTAATAAACAGGCTACACATTTTGAGAGCTCTTCCATATTCTGTGTGCGTTTGCCAGCTTTACTAACATTTCCTCAAAAGAAAAACAAACATTTGTAAGTACAGGATGTCATATCAAGTAGTTTGACTGTTCAACTAGACAGCGTTTGAAAATAGCAGCTCTAAAAATATCATGGCAGACAGATGCTGCCTTGAAACTGGTTTTCACAGCAGGAAAATTTTAACTGCTCATGTCTTCATCAGGACGTAATTAAGCCTCCCTGAGCCAAACCACTGCAATTGGTCATAGTGACACTTCAATGACCAAAGTTAGCTTTCTTGGATCAAATCAAATTGCATTAGTTAATTACTGAGCAAGTTGTTTTCTCCACTTAAAAGGCTAGATATGCACCATTTACTTTTTTTTTTTTTTTAGCTTATGCAGTAATACTTTAACAAGAATTACTTTTTTTTGTTCTTGCCTTTATTCATTTTTAAAACTTAAACAACGCACCTTGGCAGTGCCAATTTTAATATCATGTTTTAGGACCTGTGACATGGCATACCATGTAAAACCACTTTCCATGAATGTGATGATCAGTTCTTTTTACTCTGGTATTACTACCTGATACCATTTTAAACATGGTGCCATCACAGTACTGCATGTAGAAGAGATCGAAGAGCACATACAGGAAGTGAATTATAGCCTTTTTAAACTGATACATTTTCCTGCTTTATTGCACTTTATCAAATGTCTATTTTACAACGGGCACCGCTGATGATTGACGTCTCAGAGCGGCTCCATTCACAGTCAGTAAATAAATACTGCATGTGCTGTGAGTTTAACCTGCCTATTTTACAACTCCTCCGTATCCAGTTTAAGTTGCATACATTTTGTTCTTGCATTGATGTTACATTTGTAGCAGTTTTGCACTTTGACAGTCAGTTTGAGATAATGTAACTATATAACCATATTTTATTATTGTGTGTATCGGATAGTTTACAAAATAAATGATTGGGACACTCTTTGTAATTGAAGTGACTTGGAAAATGTGTCCCAATCAACCTGAATTCACCCTACTCTTTGAAATCATGATTGTATTACAATGTTGTTTTAAACCCCAAATATCTTACTTATAACTTAATTATAATTCTTCATGAACAATTATTCAGTTATTTGTAATGTTAAATGTAAAAAAAATAAAATAATTTAAAGTAGTTTCAATGTAGCTAGATACTTTCTGATAGTAACTTGTAATGTAGCTAGCTACTTTTTCAGAAGGGTAGCTTGAATGTAGCTTAACTACTTTAATTTTTGAGTAGCTTGTAGCTGGTAAAGCTACAGTTTCAGAGTAGCTTCCCCAACACTGCTGGCCATTGTGTCTAATTACAGAAGTTGAAGGATTTGAGTAAAGCTTGACAGCAGGTCATGACCTCTCATTTGAAGAAAAAGATGAGTTTTTCCCCTAGATGGATTTTAAAATTATGACAAAAGGTGGTTTCTGTGTTCCAGACGGCAAGTTTACCACATACAATGTATGACTGTATCTCAACGGGATGTGTTAAAAGTATTTTAAGTTTTCTCAACATTTCAGAATGCCTATTCAGTGTTTTTGTAACAAGTTCTGAGCACATGAAGTGGTTCTTACTGAGCCAAGCATTGTGTTGGGTTATTGTACAGCCAACAACAACCCTAAATGTTGAACTTCGGGACCTAACTTGCCCTGCACCATTTGTGTTGCTGACATGAATGATTGACATAAGAGATTGTTACAGTGGGATCAAAATCTTTTGTCTAGATCCCAAATATCATCTAGGGACCAGAATAACATAGAGACATGGAGCCAGACCACCCTAATAAACTGAATCTTTTCTGTTTTATGTGTGTGAGACAGTTTTTTTCTTTCTTCTGCATGTTTAACGTATGGGCCTCTCATTATCTGTGCATGTCTGCTGTATTGTGCGTGGATCAATAGCGTTGAGCGAGGTAGAGTGAGGTCGTCTCTGCTGACAGTGTCAGAATGCTGTTTGAGATTATCGAGCGGCAGTGATTCAGCAGATTCAGGCTGCTGCAGGCCCTTCCTGCTTCTCCATACTGTTTCCCTGCACCACACCACCAGACATATTCGGTACCTTTCTTCCCTTTTGCCTTTAACATTTTTAAATTTGTTAGATTAACAAGTTTATAGATCCTATGATAGTTTTTTGACTTTATGTCCTTGTGTGTTAGCTCTTCCTCCTATAACCAGGAAATCATGGCCATTGTTTTCCCCAATGCACTCAAGCTGGAAGTTAAGGAAAGTAATTTATTCATTAGCCTAAGATTTAACATTAACTTTTCTCAATTAGATTTAGTCAAGAACATCAGCTGGGTACACGGTGTTCACACCATTAGATTGCACCATGGTTATATCTGCAAGTTTAATCAAGATGCTATTTCATCAGTGTCGTCTTTTGTCAATTTGTCTTCTGAATTTTCAGGACCTGCTAGGAATGTACCACCAGTTTACGGTTTGGATGTGACGGGCGTGACCAATTGGGAGACTACTGTACTTACTCCTGCTTTAGAGATCCTGGACTGCCTCCAAAAGGTTTGACTTGTTTTCTTTCTTGTTTAGTTGACAAATTATGTCTCCTTTGCACTCCACTGATCATCATTTGTCTTGTGAAACCCAACCGTGGCGGTTCTGCATAATAGAGAGGTGACCAACAAAAGTACTGTTTTAAGTAACATTTTAAAAGTAACAAGTAATGGTTGATAGATACTGCTTTTTTTTTGATAGCTGATACAGATTTCTTAGAGAGCAGTGTGACCGATATAACATTTTTATATATATTTATAACATTTATTTATTTATATACAGTATATATAATATACAGTGGGTACGGAAAGTATTCAGACCCCCTTAAATTTTTCTCTCTTTTTTATATTGCAGCCATTTGCTAAAATCATTTATGTTAATTTTTTTTCCTCATTAATGTACACACAGCACCCCATATTGACAGAAAAACACAGAATTGTTGACATTTTTGCAGATTTATTAAAAAATAAAAACCGAAATATCACATGGTCCTAAGTATTCAGACGATTAAGAAAATCTAATTAATAACAGGGTGCTGTGATTAATTAATCTAATTAATCACAATCTAATTTGGCTGTAAAAATACCCCCCCAAAATAATTTAAATCTATTATCATGTTAAATCTTTAGGCTATAATGGCCTAACATACAGTATGGAACATAAAAGAAGATAAATTGAGAAATATCTCAGTACTTTTTGTTTATGCAGTGAAAGCCATTCAGGTTCGAAAACATGAGGGTGAGTATGATGACATAATTTATTTCTTAATTTTTTTTAATAAACGAAATGATACTCTAAAGAAACTAAAACTATCAGCAGGTGGCGGTAAATGTCTTTTTTTTTTTAGTCGATTCGTTCAAATGGCTGATTCATTCAGGAATTCAGTAAACGTCTCTCTCTTTGAATCATTGATTCACATAATTCGTTGCAAAACGCAGATTCATTCAGAAAGTAAACACCGCTGTTTTGCTCGGAGACGCACAACAATTATGCTGTGGCTTTTTGTGGCTGAGGTCATTTTTTGTGACTTTTTTTTTTGTTTTCTGGCTGAGGTAATATTTTCGTTGTCAAAATTGAACAAAAACACACAATATTGTTTTTAAAATACAGCACAATAATAACTTCTTGTTTACTGAACTGTTGTATAAAATCACATTTGCACTCCGTTTGTGTGACCTTCGTGACAAAAACAGCATTCGTGTGATATTTCTCTCGCTGCTCATGAGATATTGCTTATCATATGATATAAATGTGTGACAAAAACTCATACAGGGGCATTTTTGCACCAATATCTTTTTCTTTTCTTTTTTTTATTTTTATTTTCGGGCATAACTGCATTTAAAGAGTTGTTGCCCTGCATTATGTTTGTGAATAGTCAACTGTAATGTAAGATGATGTACAGGTCTGGGGGCGGGGCCAGTGCGTTAATCATGTTAAAATATTTTAATCGTGTTATTTTTTCATAACTAATTAAGTTAACGCGTTAAACTGACAGCCCTATATATATATATATATATATATATATATACATACAGTGGTGTGAAAAAGTGTTGGCCCCCTTCCTGATTTCTTATTTTTTTTGCATGTTTGTCACACTTTAATGTTTCAGATCATCAAACAAATTTAAATATTAGTAAAAGATAACACAAGTGAACACAACATGCAGTTTTTAAATGAAGGTTTTTATTGTTAAGGGAAAACAAAATCCAAAACTACATGGCCCTGTGTGAAAAAGTGTTTGCCCCCTAAACCTAATAACTGGTTGGGCCACCCTTAGCAGCAACA